GTGACCTATGGGATCTGTCTGAAATCAACTTGGAGGGATGAGTCATGGGTCCCTGTTGCCACCAACAAGGACCTTGGAGAAATATACATCGTGATGAAAACTTGCAGCAAGCCCTGTTGGGTTTATTTGGCCACTTTCTAAGCAGCTGGCTTGAGTCAGCCCTCCCTTTCCCATGCTGACACAGAAGGTGCCATTTTTGCAGATGCAGGATTGTAGTGTTCTCTCAGGAGATGGGGACTTGCAGATCTTTGCAATTCCCATTGGTGTGGAGCTGCATGCTGGCAACCAAATTGCAGAGATGACTGAGAATCATGCCCTGGGTTGTTGAAAGAGCTTCCTCTGGACAAAAGTGCTGGAGGCTGTGACATCAGGACAGCTTGCCACCCTTGGTCTGCTGTGGAAAGCTTTGTCTGGCTTTGGAAAAAGGTCACATGGCTATTCCTCCCCCCTGTATGCCTCAGTGAGAGCATGGGTCCTGGATTACTGAGTATGACTGAGATAGGCATGGAGGTCTCTCAGCCCTTGGAGGATAGCTGCGGTCCCACTGATGAGACTGAGCCTGCCTTAATCTCTCCAGAAAGGTGAAAATGTGACCACTGCTCCCAGGTGTGCTGCAGACCTTAGAGACGATGGGCTGGAAGGTTTCATTTCCTTCAGGTCCCAATCAGGTGCTTGGGGATCCTGGACACAAGCACCAAGCCATCTCTGACCACTCATCGCTGCTATCTGGTGACACTAGTGTCAGCTTCAGGGACATAGAGGATCAGTATTGCCAGAGCAAGTGGCAGAGAGGGAGAGAGAGTGCCAGGATGGCTTTTTCTTCGTTAGGCTGCTCTCCTCCTTTACAAAGAGTCAAACAGTCTCTCTGGAAAGAGCTGGAGATACCCTCCTTTTATTTGCCCCTCTCCTGCTATTTAAGAGTTAAGAGTTTGAATTCATGGTTGTATAAGCCCTACCCTTTGAGCTAGAGATTAAGGCACATCTCCCTCAGAGCTGTGGCCTCCTCTGGGTCCCATGACTCATATTTTCCTAGGAAACAAACAGCCTTCTGCTTATGTTTTCTTGTTAGGCAAACCTAGATCTTATTTTCCCACCCTTTCATGAGTACAGTGACCACTGGTGAGCAGTTGTGGGCCAAGAGGACGGTGTGGAGACCCTCCATACCCATCACATGTCCTGCTGGTCTTGCACAGGGGCCTCTCAAGTCTAGTGGGTCCTGTCACTTTCCTCATATTACTTTCATATGAGTGGATAGTCAGTAGTTCTTTAAAGTACTTCTTACCTTCACCACTGAGCTCTGCTAAGTTCAGACTGAGATGAGCTGAACCAAGATGATAACACACACCTAGGTCTTTCAGGATGCAGAAAGGTGGACTTATATCTAAAGGATCAAGCAAAGCATCGGGATTGCTGCATTGATACACTGTACATATGGTGTGGCCCCATCTGGAGCACTTTACTATTGCAGGAAAAATCGAGTTAACTTCAGTATCGCTAGTGTTACAACCCAACTGGAGGTCCAAGTTGGCTTCCTGTGTGCGAGGCATTGTCCAAGAGCACACAGAGAAGCATTTGTGGGCTTGGAGGGACTGTCGGGTAAAAAAGCAGCATCAGTGACATGCCCCAAGTCGTGCAGATAAGGTAGAAACAGCAATCTCAGCCATGTGCCCTGATTTCCCAGCCAGGTCTGTGTCTGCAGGACCTGCTGTGCTTCTAGCAAAGGAGAATGAGAGATTTGGAAAAAACAATTATTTCATATTTTAGAGATTGTAGAGGATTGTATTATTTACTTATTCAAGTAAAATCCAATAGGTATTTTTGTGGTGGGTTTGTGCTTTGTTGGTTTGGGTTTTTTTAAACCAAAATGAGTAGAGAAGTAGGTAAAAGTAGAAAATTGCATTTTCAGGTGTTTATTTAAGGTTTTCATCTTTTTGGGCACTGTTTCCTGTAAAAATTCAACCAAGTGTCTTACGTGGGTGAAAATGCAGAGAGTCATAATTTTGAGATGAAATGTTTTATTCTGAGTTGACTAAGATACATTGTTGCATCTGAGATTAAATTCCTTCTCTTGTTTTGACAGAAAAATTGAAAAGATTCATTTCAATTTTCCCCTTGAAGGTCCCTCTTCATTTTTGCTTACCCCCAAAATCATCAGTTCCTGACATATTTTAATTTGTTGAGATCAAAGCTATGAGAAGAACTAATCAGTATGTTAAAAGAAATACATTCTATTATATAGATCTAGCATCCTACCTGCTAAGAAGTGCCATGATAAAGTCTATTAAGGCAGAAAGGTTTCAGATCTGAGTGCAATAGCAGGGTGTTAGAGAAGTGTGCGAGGTGTACGATGGCTCTTTTTTGCCAAAAAAATTGATTCAGAGCCTTTGAAGTATAGGAGTGACAGGGAAAAAATGCATTCAATAAATAAACACAACATTAGCTTGAGGGTACACTCGGGTAATATGGGGGAACTAAGACAGAAACAGCTATAGGCCTTTTTTTTTCATGGTTTTATTCTTACTAATATGGAAACCCTCATTATTACCATGGACTCTAGAGTGGGATGGCTATTCTGTCAAAAAACTCCTTGGTAATCGTTTTCCAAGCGTGAACGCGCTGCTTTGCCTCTGTGTTTTGCTGCAGGGGGAAAATGGGTGGCATTTCATGTTGGAAGAGTTTATCAGAGCCTTCCTCGTTGTTGCTGGAGCAGCATCAGGTCGCTAGCATTTGCTCAAAAAATCAAAACCCACAAACATTATTGTAAAACTGTCATTTAATTTGTATTGAGCTTATCAAAATCTTCACTTACGCCAGCTGCTGTCTTTGCATGAACATTCAAGCTGACGTGTACAAGGGTTGTAGAGGAGATGGTGCCGAAGTGCTTGCAGTCACCAGCCTTTTCGTACCAAAATGCCTTGGACTCAGACCTCCCAAATTTGTCACATTGGGAGAAAAGCATGAGACATTTTGGAGATGCACACATATGGAAAGACCTGTGTCTCATCTCCTGAAAACCAGGCCTTTCACGGTCTCGATACCTAAATCACTGTTGACTTTTACAGTTATGGCCCTGGACATCTTAAGTCAAGCAGTAAATTGCAACAGGTGGTGCTTAGTTCTTTCTTGTGTTCAGGGGTAGGTTTTCTCATGGATTGGAAATGTGGTTTGGACACTTCCTGTTCAGTGGAAGAGAAAATGTTGTTGCTGTGATTATAATGACACTTATTTTTATTCTGTTTTGTTATTTTTATCCAAAAGCAGTCCATAAGTGTGTGAGAAACTAGAAGAAAGGGAAGCAGAAGGTTCCAAACAGCAATGAATTAAAACTAAAAGAGGTTGGATGCTGGACATATGGAGAGAAAGCAATCTGTGACAATAAGGAAAGTTGTAAGTGCCATGATTTTGCTTGCAGTACTGAGAATTTAGCAGCCGGTACCCAGCAGTCAGGTCATCAGGTTTTGCAATATGTTGCCTTTAAAGATGTTTCTTTTGGGTACCACTTAATCCCACTTTACCCAAGACAGGCGGGCTGTCAGATCTGCACAGAACAGAAGGGAGAAAGGAAGACAAAGTAAAGATGTGCCACATGAATTTAAAAACACTTAAATTAGTGTTTAACAAGTTGATTATTCAGCTTCTCCAGAAAAGCAGCCTCATTCATTTAGATCTTTCTGAGTAGAGCTCTTCAGAAATATTAGTTAACTAGAAGCCTGAGAAAAGAGGTGATCCTTCTGTGTTGTTTTAAAACCTGTTTACCTATTAAGGTAGGAGGCAGCTGGAAAATAAAATATCAATGTTCTCTGTAGTCAGGAAAGGTTTGATCAGTGGTATATCAGGAGTCATTTTCCCAGTCATGTAGCTGAAGGAAATTAATAGGAAAAGAGAAAAGACTTCATTAACTTTTCCTTTAAAGTAAACTGATTGCTTTTTCCCTGCAGGCTCTGTCCCTTTGACACTTCCCTGTGAAATGAAAGGGGAATATTCTTTTGCAGTGACTTTTCCCTATTTGTGCTGCACTTTTGCAGGCTAATATGCTTCAAGGCCCATTTCCAAAAAGTGACAAAATCCAAAGGAACTTATACTGCAAAGGGACAGAGTTAGAAAGGGGGTTAATTATCTTACAATACAAAGTGCCAAGAACTACTGAAAATCCCACTCTGCTCCTCCCTGCACTGCTAAATAACAAAAAACCTGTTGCTTTCTATTTGAAACTTGAGGCCCATTGTTGGGCACTTGGGCAGTTTCCCCATCTTCACCATACAGTGGAATGATGAAGCAGCGTATTCTTCTGGAAGCAAGCAGAAAGTTCAATCCCACATAAATCAGGATTAAGTACAAGCCAGACAGAAAACAGAGTAACAGCCCATCACTTTAAAATAGAAATAATTATATAAGAATGTAAATTGCAAATAGGTATTTGCTCCCCTATACTTTGAAACAAACCTGCAATTTGAGTGCACTGTCTCGTGTATCCTGGTTTTCAGTGTCAGACTGTAATATCTCTGAATAATTCTTGCTTACTTGAACATACATATTCTAAGAAATGAGATTCTGTTTATGTTCAAGGCCAGGTGTTTTTCTTAGTCAGGTACAAGCTAAAGAAATCTCGTATAGAAAATAAAGGAAATCTCTATAGGCTCCATCAGCTTGCATTATTAAAGAGCAGCTTTGCACACAATCAAAAGTCTAAAAATGTATTCTGAGAACAAACAAAATCTTTAATCTTGTTTGTAAAAGCAGCCATTACGGTGAGCTTAGGAAGTTGTTGTTTTCTTCTTTTGGTTCTTTCTTTTCTTTTTTTTAATGAAGAAAAAGTTAGAGAGCAAGCTTGGATTTCTTTTTATTGAGATATCACTTAGCTACTCTCTTTTTAAGATAGACTCGTGTTTTTCTCAGAGCCATTTGAATGTGACAAGTGGATGTTCAAAAGCAGCTGAACTGATTCACTCCCACTGGCAACCCAAAGCATCGCTGTGATCCCCAAAAATACAACCCTTCGTTCACTCACCGCTGGTATTCCAGGTCGCCCGCTGTTGGCTTTGCAAACCGTTCTTCAGGCACTGCTCCACATAGGATTTGGGATCGCATCCGGAGAGGAGGATCTCACCAAGAAGAGCGATGTAGGCAACTGCCAGCCGGAGAGTGTCGATTTTGGAGAGCCTCTTCTCGTACGGGAAGGTCGGTACGCGGCACCGGAGCTGGTCGAAGGCCGCGTTGATGCTGAGCATCCTCTTCCTCTCGCGGAGGTTGGCGGCGCGCCGCTGGTGGCGGGGGCCGCGGGGCGGTGGCGGCGGGGCGCTGTCCACTTCAGCACCCCCCGCCCGCCCCGCCGCGCCGCCCGGGGCCGGGGGGCGAGCAGGGGAGGGCCAGGGGGAGGGCTGCTCTGCCGGGGAGCAGCAGTCCAGGAGGAGGCTGTCCAGCTGAGCGCTGGCATCTGTCTCGTCCCAGAAAAGAAATTCGGGAGTGGAGTCTTCCTGCTCGAAGCTGTAGCAAAATTCCTCCATCCTCTGTACCAGGCTGAAGCAAGCTAATGGAAATATTTACAACTTCAGACTAAAGGGACTATCAGGAACATGAGATTCCAATTTCATTAATACCCCAATCCCAAAAAATACCTGGGGCAGAAAGTCCTGGTGTGGTGTCCTTGAGCAAGACTATCACAAAATCTTCCCCAGTTGCAAATCCAAGTGGGACTCATGATTTAAATACTTCATGGCTCCTCAGTGGGGGAATGATCCTATTCTCTTCCACTCAAAACTAATTAGTACACGTGCTCCTTTTTCTATCAGCTGTTGACTAAAAAACAATATGAATGAATGTAACAAGAGAGAAAGAATTTTCTATTGACTTTCTCCTGGAAAATCCAATGAAGCAGCTACTGGATCCTTCCACAACTTCAGTTTCTCTACTTGCTATTCAGAGTAGGGTTCACACAGGGATTTTGTTGTTATTATTCTTGGTTTTGGTTAGGTGTCATTGGAGGAAGAAACAAAATACAGTCCTTTATCTTTTTTGGTGAAGTGTTAACAGCCCCACATTCTCCCATGGCAGGACAAACAAAGTGCTATTATAATGCTGTCAGAAACATATGATTCTGCTGTCTTTGACAGCAGAAGCTAGTGGCATCTTCTGCACTTCTAGCAAGAGAATGGTTGAGACAAAGATGTGGGATGCTGTGTTAAACTGAAACGCAGTGGTGCTACATATTAAGTAAGGCAACACCACCTCATTCGATTACTGCATTTTCTAATTCATACCAAAATTACACATTTTGTGGGTGATGCAGACATTCAGTGCTCTGTCTCAGACCATACTAAGCGCTGGAGAATAGCAGCTGGAATAACCACAATGTGTGCAGTCCTAGAATGGTAGACCAGCTGGGCCACGTCTTGAGAAGTGCTGGAAACTGGGAGTGTAGCAGGTGTCCAGCATCACAGGAATGTGGACTAATGGGGTGGAAGGTGTTAAGCACAACCAGAACTTTAAAGCAAGTGCATAATATAAGTGGGTGCTTCAGTCTCTTTGATTTCCATCATACTTAAGTCAATGTTTAAATTTGTTCAGAAGTAGTTTAAGTGATAGTTTAAGGACTTAAATGAGTGCAACGGCAACATGTTTTAAGTTACAGAAAGCCTAAATGCTTTTCCTGATGCATGTCATAAAGAAATTTTATCAAGACACTTCATCAAATGCTTGACTTCATGCACAGGCTCTCGTCCTGCTGCTGTGTGAAGTTTCAAGTGATGTCTACTGTGATATTTATGAGCCACAAACAGCTTACTGACAGGACAGCTAAAAGCATGACTCTCAATAGCTTCATATAAAGAGCCAGAGAGCAGAAAACCACCTGCATTTTTAAAGGATCCAAAAGAATGATCAGGTCCTCTATCTAACAATGACTTAGGATGCAGTCCAATGTATGGTAGCTTTGCCCTGTGAAGAGAGGGATTTATTTTAAGATAAGGTATAGGCCGTTAATAACTCTTCTTAGCAATCTTGGATTTTGCCTTGTGATCATTCTACTTGCTCCAGGAAGCTTAAGGCAACAGAAAGCAGGCTGCAGGAAAGATTTTTGCAGAGTGGATGTGAGAAGGTTGCAGTGGATGAAACACTAGGACTATTTTTTTTTCTTCTTTTTGTGCAACTTGAACAAGGAACTCATTATCTTTAAATCTAGTTAACGAAGGAAAATACCAAGTGTGAATACCTGAGAGGCCAAATAGCAGTTAAATACCGAGAATGTGTCTGTCTTTCTCTGGTCACCTCAGGGCAAAAAGTTTGTACTAGTTTTGTACAAAGTAAATCGTTTGTCATGACACCAACATATTCAACAACAAAATATTGGTATTATGAAAACCCATGGTGACAGACAGCTCCTACTCCAGACGAATCCCAACAAGGGACAAGGTGCCTGGCTAGAGGGCAGGAGGGGAGGTGAGAGGGGTGAAAGGAATGGCCATAGTCACAGGTGGCAGAGCTGAGACTTGAACTTGGACCTATCAATGCAGAGTTCATTCTCCAATGGCTTCTTTGACATCGTACCACTGAATTTCCCAGTGTCATGTACAAGTGATGTTCCCAAACAAAACAGCTTACTATAGTCCCTGTGGCTGGCAGTGGGACCGAATGTCTGATCCCAGCAGAGAATCTACACTCTTGCAAGCAGATTTGGGCTCAGCTGTGCAGAAAACAGGCAGCAGAAAAGCCTTCCTGCCTGAGCTCCCTACCTCTGCACGCTGCAACACCTCTACCCAAAACGCCTCTGCAGCACTGCTGCTGCATTGTTGGCTGCCTGTGGATGCTCTGCAGTTCCCAGATTTTGGATTCTTTTTTAGGTGCTTCTTCAGCTCCCCAGTCACTGTTTAACTGAGCTCTTCGTAGTGCTTATTTGTCCACCTTAGGCACAAATGTAAGACACTTGAAAGTACCAAAATCACCAAAAGAACAGCAGGTCTTCTCCCAAACAGGGCTCTGGAGGAGATGGTGGTTGTCCACTGGGAGCAACGGGCAGAGACAAGGAGGCTCAGCAAATAACATGGTTAGGTTTATGTGTTGGGTTCCTCTTTCTCAGCAGATGCTTCTTCAGTGCTTAATGTTCCCTTCCAGATCCATCACTGCTAATAGTGCCTTGGGATATGTCTGGCTCCACAGATGGAGAGCAGATGTTCCAGAAAGCCTAACTTTAGCATGTTCAAGCGGAATTTGGCTCTCTTAGAGAGATTCTGGACAAAGCAGAAAGGGGGGGATGGTGGAGGAAGAAAGAGAAAAAAGCAAGAAAAGATTTCCCCTTAGAAAGCCAGCTATGAAAGAGGTCAAGTCTCTGAAGAGAAGCTGAGGTTCCCATCCCTCATATGAACAACTCTGACCACAGCTTAAGACCTGTTATGCTCCCAGTGTTTCTGCAACTCTGTCAGAGAGGGAGGGCATGTACAACTAATTGGGCTAATTTAGTACTTGTCTGCAAGATGTGAGTGAAGGAGTCCCCAGCAGGGAATGAGGTAGCCTGGGCACCACGCTGAGTGGAGGTGCTGTTGATTCTGACATGTTGGTATAATTTCAAGATCTGCTCAACAACCATCCCTCCCAAAACCTCTTTATACCCAGTGGGATCTAGAAATAACTTTTACCTGCTGGTCATTTTTAAGCAGCAGGATCTAATGAAAGCAATTTCTTGAGTCAGAAACTTTGTCTTGGGTTTATGTCTATGATAGGCAATGAAGCCATGGTGATCTGGGTTTGAATTCTTCCAGGTCTACATATGTACGTCTCCCTTTATAATTTTCCGTATTCACGCTGGGAACTACCTTCCTTAGTCCTGTCCTATTTTCTCTGTCCTCTAAACAAACCCACCCATAGCAGATGATGTGATTTTTTCCTATTTCGTAAATTTTGGGTACAAACCTGCTTTCAGGGAATATTTCCATGGCAGTTTTTTTCTTCACAGTGTCTTAGCAGCTGAAAGCTGTTACCCTGTACAAGTATCTCAAAGATAACAGGGTCTTCTGAGGTTATTTTGGAGGTCTATTTTTCTCTCCCCTTCTTATCCTATTGGCCTTATTTCAGACTCAGCTTGGGGAACCTTTTCAAAGACAAACCTCGAGGGAGGTTATCCTCCGCTCTACTCTGCCCCATCTGGAATACTCTGTCCAGTTCTGGGCTCCCCCAGTTCAAGAGAGATGAGGAACTACTGGAGAGAGTCTAGCTGAGGGCTACAAGATGATGAGGGAACTGGAGTGTTTATCCTATGAGGAGAGGCTGAGGGAGCTGGGCCTGAAGAAGAGAAGGCTGAGAGGGGATCTTATAAATGCCTACAAATATCTCGAGGGTGGGTGCTAAGAGAATGGGGCCAGACTCTTTTCAGTGGTGCCCAGTGACAGGACAAGGGGCAATGGGCACAAACTGAAGCAGAGGAAGTTCCGTCTGAACATGAGGAAGAATTTCTTCACTCTGAGGGTGACGCAGCACTGGAACAGTCTGCCCAGAGGGGTTGTGGAGTCTCCTTCTCTGGAGATATTCAAGACCTGCCTGAACGAAGTCCTGTGCAGCCTGCTGTAGGTGACCCTGATTCAGCAGCACGGTTG